CATCAGCATCAGCATCATCATCAGCAGCAGCAGCAGCATCAGCATCAGCATCATCATCACCATCAGCATCATCATCACCATCATCATCAGCAGCATCATCATCAGCATCATCATCATTATCGTCCTCATCCTCGTCCTCATCCTCGTCCTCATCCTCGTCCTCATCATCCTCCTCCCTCCCCCCTCCTCATCCTGCTATTCCTGCTGCTCCTCCTCCTCCTCCTCCTCGTCCTCCTCCTCCTCCTCATCATCATCCGCCTCCTCCCCATCCTCCCCATCCTCCCTCCTCACTCCTCACTCCTCCCTCCTCCCTCCCCCTCCTCCCGCCTCCCACCTCCCGCTTCCCGCCTCCCCCCTCCCTCCTCCCGTTAGTCGTAAGTCGTCCGTTGTCGGCGGAGGTCGCCATCGTCGTCGCCGTCGTCGCCGTCGTCGTGTCGACCACCAGCATCTGGAGCGCCTCGGATCGGCGGCACTGCCGGAGGGCATTCAAATACGACTCCCCCCGGGCGTCTCGGGGGCCCAGAAAAGCCCACAAAGACGCGGAAAAAATGCCCCAAGATGCCCCCGAAACGCTCCTCGAGGGCCCCGAATCGCCGAAGTATAGGTCCAAGTCGCCAAAGTAGCCTCCAGACGGCTCAAAGGTTTCCGAAACGTCCCAAGAGGCCTCCAAGAGGACTTCTCAAAGAGGGCACCAAGGAACAATTATCCCGGCAAAGCAACCTAACAGCGATGTGTATAAGCATACCTGGAAGCATTCCCCTTAAGATTCAGGTGAGAATCCAGTTGTAGAATTCTGCTGTTCTCGCAGTCGCAGTCGCATTCGCAATGACAGTCGCAGTGGCAACGGCCTTAGGATCCAATGGAATCCTAAGGATTCCTAGGGATTCCTAAGGCATCCTTAGGCATCCTTAGGAATCCATAGGAATCCTTAGGAAACCTTAGGAATCCTTAGGAATCCTGATTCCTAGGGATTCCTAGGGATTCCTATTCCTAAGGATTCCTAGGGAATCCTAAGGATTCCTGAGGATGCTTAACTATGCCTACGGATTCCTAAGGATGCCTACGGATTCCTAAGGATTCCTGGGGATTCCTAAGGATTCCTATGGATTCCTACGGATGCCTCAGCCTGCCTCAGTTTCAGCCTCAGCCTCAGCCTGCCTCGGCTTGCCTCAGCCTCAGCCTCAGCCTGCCTCGGCCTCAGCCTCAGCCTGCCTCAGCCTCAGCCTCAGCCTGCCTCGGCCTCAGCCTGCGTCAGCCTCAGCCTCAGCCTGCGTCAGCCTCAGCCTGCCTCAGCCTCAGCCTCAGCCTCAGCCTCAGCCTGCCTCGGCTTGCCTCAGCCTCAGCCTCAGCCTGCCTCGGCCTCAGCCTGCCTCGGCCTCAGCCTGCCTCAGCCCCCCCTCCTCCCCCCCCCCCTTCCCCCCCCCCCATTCAGCCTCACCTTGTCTCAGCTTCGGCCTGCCTCGGCCTCATCCTCAGCCTCAGCCTCAGTCTCAGCCTCAGCCTGTCTCGGCCTGAGCCTGCCTCGGCCTCAGTCTCAGCCTGCCTCGGCCTCAGCCTCAGCCTCAGCCTCAACCTCAGCCTGTCTCAGCCTCAGCCTGCCTCAGCATCAGCCTCAGCCTCAGCCTCAGCCTGCCTCAGCCTCAGCCTGCATCAGCCTCAGCCTGCCTCGGCCCAGCCTCAGCCTCAGCCTCAGCTCAGCCTCAGCCTCAGCCTGCCTCAGCCTCAGCCTGCATCAGCCTCAGCCTCATGCTCAGCCTCAGCCTCACCACAGCCTCAGCCTGCCTCGGCCTCAGCTTCGGCCTGCCTCGGCCCTCAGCCTCAGCCTCAGCCTCGCCTCAGCCTCAGCCTCAGCCTTGCCTCAGCGTCACGTCAGGCCTCTCAGCTCAGCCTGCACCTCAGCCTCAGCCTCAGCCTCCTCAGTCGCTCAGCCTCATCCTGCCCTCAGCCTCAGCCTGCCTCGGCCTCAGCCTGCGTCAGCCTCAGCCTCAGCCTGCCTCAGCCTCAGCCTGCCTCAGCCTCAGCCTCAGCCTGCCTCGGCGTGCCTCAGCCTCAGCCTCAGCCTGCCTCGGCGTGCCTCAGCCTCAGCCTCAGCCTGCCTCAGCTCGGGCATTCAAAATATGGCACAGGACCGGTGTTCTGGGAACACGAAGATCACGAAGTGGCCCACAGTTGGCTCTGGGCAATCCAAGTATGGTACAAGAATGGTGTTCTGGGAGCACGAAGAACACGAAGTGGCCTACAGTTGGCTCGGGGCATTCAAAATGTGGCCTGGGAATGGTGTTCTGGGAACACGAAGAACACGAAGTGGCCTAGAGTTGGCTCTGGGCATTCAAAATGTGGCCTGGGAATGGTGTTCTGGGGAGTCCCCGGATCCTCCCCAGCACCCGCCCAGACCCCCCTGGGGAGTCCCGGGGAGTTCCCGGATTTTCCCCGGCATCCGCCCAGACCCCCCTGGGGAGTCAAGATGCTCTCTCTTTTGAGCCCACTAGAAACCTATCAGTCTTCGCTGTTAGGTAAAAATCATAGATTTCCCTTGGCTTTTAGAAAGATTTCGGCATTCTCGCCTTGTCAGCTTCCCGACGCTCCAAGACAGGCCAAGAGGCCCCGAAGACTGCCCCAAGATGGCCCAAGAGGGGTCCAAGAGAACTCCAAAACGACCCAAGAGGGCCCCAAGACCGTCCAAGACGCCTCCAAGACAATCGAAGAGGCTCCCAAGACGGTTGTAAGAGGGAGCCCAAACGGGAGATCCAGACGGACATTTCGAGCCATCGGCTTGAGAAGCTCTCAGGAGACCCCCAGAGGCACCTAAAAAGCCCCACAAGAAGCCCCAAGAGGCTCCCAAGAGACCCTCAGGAAGGCCCAAGAGGCCCCTACGAGGCTGCCAAGCGGCCCCCAAGAGCTTCCCAAGAGGCCCTCAAACTACCCCCAGGAGGCCCCCGAGAGCTTCCCCCGAGAGCTTCGTCGTTGTGGTCGTGGTTGTCGCCGCCATGCAGGGTCGGCGGCACCGGCCGTGAGGCCTTCGCAATACGATCCCCAGTGTGTTGAGGCCATCCGACACTGCCCTCGGAGCCGAAGCCGCCCTCTAGGGTCTGGCATGCCCTTCGTGCCGAAAACTAAAGACAGCCCTCACAGCGGCACCACCCACAGCCTGAATCCCGAGGGGCCGACGGGTGCGGCCCAAGCCCAGCCCAGCCGCCGATCTGATGTTTGTCAATGCGCGGCCCTGGAGGACCCGACCCTCTTTCCCCCGGGGGTAGCTGCTTGTCCCCGATCCGCTCTTGAAGGCGCCCGGCCCCCAAAACGGGCCCCGTGGGCCGAGATCGTGGAACCATCCCAAGAACGACAATTAGCCTGACGAAGGACCCAACCGTGTGCAGTTGCGAGTACCGCATTGTGGGTACCGGTTTCGGTGGAGCTCCTATGGGGCCACGAAACTTGTGAGGGGTGCGGTGTAGCTCCCGATGGGGCCACGAAACGCTGCCCTGGGCGAGGGAGACGCATGCGAACTGCGCCATTGGGACCTTCGCTGGATCTCCTTTTATGGGGCCACGAAGCGCTGTCATGGGTGGGGGAGACGCATGCGAACTGCGCCTCTGGCGCCTTCGGTGGAGCTCCCTATGGGGCCACGAAGCGTTGTCCTGGGCGGGAGAGACGCATGCGAACACCCCGATTGAGGCCTTCGGTGGAGCTCCCTATGGGGCCACGAAGCGCTGTCCTGGGCAAGGGAGACGCATGCGAACACCCCCACTGGGGCCTTCGGTAGAGCTCCCTATTGGGCCACGAAACGCTGCCCTGGGTGGGGGAACCGCATGCGCCCACCCCCACTGGGGCCTTCGGTGGAGCTCCCTATGGGGCCACGAAACGCTGCCCTGGGTGGGGGAACCGCATGCGCCCACCCCCACTGGGGCCTTCGGTGGAGCTCCCTATGGGGCCACGAAACGCTGCCCTGGGTGGGGAACCGCATGCGCCCACCACCACTGGGGCCTTCGGTGGAGCTCCCTATGGGGCCACGAAACGCTGCCCTGGGTGGGGGAACCGCATGCGCCCACCCCCACTGGGGCCTTCGGTGGAGCTCCCTGTGGGGCCAAGAAACGCTGCCCTGGGTGGGGGAACCGCATGCGCCCACCCCCACTGGGACCTTCGGTGGAGCTCCCTGTGGGGCCACGAAACGCTGCCCTGGGTGTGGGAACCGCCTGCGCCCCCCCTCACTGGGACCTTCGGTGGAGCTCCCTATGGGGCCACGAAACGTGTGAGAGGTGTGCCGAGAGCAGAGGCAAGGAGGGGGAGGAGGGAGGAGGGGGAGGAGGGAAGGAAGGAAGGAACGCGGAGCACCGTCTCTTCAAAACAAGGACCCAACACCACAGGATGGTTGGGAAAAACAGATCGTCGCAGATCTACGGAGGGCATCAGACCTGGACCCCCGACGCGATAATCATTTCGTACCGTCAACCCCATGGAGGTCTCGACCCACTCCCCAGGACCGGCTCGTCATCTGGAGTCGCTTTTGGCGACCCCAGGGCCCGGCGAGGGCCCCGGGCCGAGAAGTACCCCCCCAAAAAAACCACGTGATTTTTGTCATGACGCGAGGGGGTCTGTCGGGGATGGACAGAACCCCATTTAGTAAAACGTGCTTTAATGAGAACGACCTCGGACCCAAACCTGGCGGGCGCAGATCTGGAAAATGACGGCCGCGGCGCCCTCTCGAGAAGCGAAAACGGACAATTCACTAATCGACGTGTCAGGGCGGGGGTTCTGTCCACCCCCGAGTCTGGGGAGGGGAGCGGACGACCTCCGTCGGGGCGCCGCGTCCCAGCGCGCACGCGCGCTATGCCGAGGCGAGGAGCGCGGCGGCTCCTGAGGTCCACCTCCTCCCTGTCGTTGCAGCCATCCACCAGCAGCCTCCTCCTTCTCCTCCTCCTCCTCCTCCTCCTCCTCCTCCTCCTCCTCCTCCTCCTCCTCCTCCTCCTCCTGCTAGGCCGAGGCGAGGGGCGCGGCGGCTCCTGAGGTCCACCTCCTCCCTCTCGTTGCAGCCGTCCACCAGCCGCCTCGCGGGCGCGGCGTGCCGCGCGCCCGGGGCGCGGAGGCCAGCAGCGCGGCGACACCTCGCCGGGCCCACCCGGCGCACGGGGCGCCCGCGGGCGGCAGCGTAGCGAGAGCTCGCCGGACCCACCCGGCGCGGCGTGCCTTCCCCCGGGGTCCCGGTCGGGGGCCGCGAGGCCGGCTGGCGCGCGGCGCTGCGCGGGCGCCTGGTGCAGCGCCCGGGGCCGCCGGACTAATTCGTTTCGGGCGGCCTGCCCGTGGGCCGCGTGCCGTCCCGGCCAGGCTCCCCTCCGCCCCCCTCCCCTCCCCGACTGCTGCTCTCTGCCGCTGGGCTTCTTCGATGGGGTAAGAAAAAATGCCTTCCCCCGGGTCCGGGTCGGGGGCCGCGGCCCGCAGGTCCGAGGGAGTTCGAGCCAGAGGCGCGCAGGGCGCGCGCGGGGCGGGTCGTTCCTGTGGGTGGGGTGGGGGGGCTTCTCGTCGCCACGGCTGGATGCGCCTCGAGATCCTGGTCAGAGCGCGCCCCAGAGTGGATCTCCAGGGGTCGGCAGGGGACCCCCGGACCCAGGCAGACTTGCATCGTGAAAGAACACACGACGGGTGGCTTTGCCAATGCTCACCTCCTGGGGGCCCCTGCAGGGCCCAGAGAACGTCAAGAAACGGCTCGGGCCGGGCAGGAGTGGGGACCTAAGTCTCTGGCGACATGGCCTTTCAGTATGGGCGCTGTTCCCGTCTGAGCCTTCTGAGCCTTCTGAGGCGCCCAGCCACATCTGCCTTCCGCCCTGGGCACACCGACGAGAGGTGTCCAGGGCGCTACGTTGCTTCTCCAGGGGATCTTGGCTGTCCCATCGCTCCCCGATCCGCGTCGAATCCGTATCGAATCATGTCCGACTCCTGGAACCCACGTCGACTCCACGTCAGATCCGCGTCGAATCCACGCCAAATACGCGTCGAGCCCGCATCGAGCCCGCGTCGGGCACAGGAAAAGACACCGATGTTGGGAACAGACGAGGTCCCCCGAAGATGCAACGTACCAGGGCGATCACGCGTTTAGAGGCCTCCCCCGAATGGGGTCCGAGCAGATGGGGTCGGACGATCGCGCCGCATCGACGACACATCGGCGATGCATCGCCGATGCATTAGCGACGTCGGCGTGGAGAAAATCGGGCTCCACATCGAGACGCGTCGACGCCGCAACGGCGATGCAGCGCGATCCTCCGACCTCCTCTCCTCCAACCCCATCTGGGCGACCTGGATGTCTCGGATCACGAATCGGGCCTCCGGCGGCCACACCCTCGGCGCGCGAATCGCACCCAGCGCGTGCCAGGGTCGTCGAGGTCAGGAAGGCCATCTGCCTCTCCCCTCGAGCACTGCGGCCGTGTACAGGTGTGGCCACAGGCAGGGGGCGGGGCAAAGAGAGAGCAGCGGGGGCGAGCCTCTTGACGGTGTCCTTGTTCGTCGGACTTAGTAGCAGCACCATACTATGTCACACACGCGCACGCACGCACGCACGCACGCAAGCACGCACGCACGCACGCAAACGCAAACGCACACACACACACACACACACACACACACACACACACACACACACACACACACGCACGCACGCACGCACGCACGCACACACACACACACACACACTCTCACACACAACACACACAACACACACTTTCAAGACGGCGGCGCAGAGGATCCTCAGGCGCGATCGAGCGTTGTCGAAGGCACAGTGCGCAGCTGGTGCACAGTGTCAAATGCAGCGATAGATGGTGTGAAGATACTGTAAATCCAGGCGACACATGCAGCGGCCAGAGAACCGAGGAGAAAACTCAACTCGAGGTAGTATGAAGCGCAGGCAGTCTGCTGCGAATTGGCAGCCACTGAATCACCATAGAAGCGTTAGACAATGAAGCGTACAAATTAAGCATGCTGCACCAGCTGTCAGGCCAGCCAAAGTGAGTGCAAAACGGATTCACCACAGACAGCCAGCATCAGCTGACGCGTGGCAGCCCAAAATGCGGCCATTGAATCACAGTCGGTGTAACAAGTAGCCGTAAAAATACACACGCACACACACACACACACACACTCACGACAAACACACACACACACACACACTTTACTTTGTCGCCGGCGAGGTGGCAACGCTGCCGCGTCTTCGGTGGTCTTCGGCGGTTTTCTGACGGTCTTCGGAGGTCTTCGTCGGTTTTAGACGGTGTCCTGCCGCTTTCGGTGCAACATCTTCTTTGTTTTAGAAAAACACGGGCTAGTGATCGAACACCTACTGCAACGGACTGCTTCGAGCCCGGAGAAGATGGCATCGGCCGCCGTGGGAACGCGAACGCAAGCGGCAAAAGCGCGAACCCAGCCAGCAGGAGGGCGGGCGCCGTCATCAAGAGCGTGGGCAGGGGCGGTCGGGTCGCGAGGATGGAGGGCCGGCAAATACATGCAAAGAAAAGCAGCCAGGACTGCCAAACGAGGTGCAGCAGCGAGCGGGCAAGGAAGGAGAAGAAGGCTGGGCGCCACGACACATGCGTGGGCCAGGGGCTGTGTGGGTGGCCACCGGCGTGGGAGATGGCACGCGCCCGAGGCGAGTGGCGGACCAAAATGACTGGTGCAAACATGCAGCAGGAAGGGCCGCCCACTCAAAGACACACTTTTGATCTGCGGGGCGAGAGCGAAACTCTTCCGCTAAAAGCTAGGCGGACTACGCACAGCTTTAATTAGGGAGACAGGGCAGAGGAAGGCGGGGCCTCAGGCGGCCGGAGCGGGCGGAGCCCGGGGCCACTCAAAGACACACACACACACACACACGCACTTTCGGGGGCATTTCGGCCACGCACGCAGCGACGCGGCAGAATCAGTCAGCTAGAAGCCTTGAAATTGCAGACGAGGCTTCAAAGAGCGCCATACTCTTTCTCCTTTGACGCGCCGCTGGCTCCAAACGACGAGCGCATTGTCTTCCAAGAGGCCTCGAGAGGCCCCGAAGAGGCCCCTAAGAGGCAACCAAGCGGCCCCGAATAGGCACCAAGAGGATCCCCAGAGGCACCCAAGACGCTCCAAGAGGCCTCCCAGCAAGAGGCTGCAAGACGCCCCAAGAGCCCTCCAAGCGGCCCCCAAGAGACACCCCGAGAGACCCAAGCAACAATCCAGGGGGCCTCCAGCTCACACAGGCACCCGAGATCTCCAAATGATGCTACGCACCCCCGTTCAGGGCAGCTCCGCTGGGCACCGTGCCTGGATGGGTTGAGGGGGGCACGCGAAGGGTTCAGAGCTAGTCTGTTTACCAAGCCACACGGCCACTTGAACGCCTGGAGACCGCGCGCAGGCGCCCCCAAGGCAGAAAGTTGAGGCATGCAAGAAACGGAAGCGCCAGCGCAAGCGAACGCCAACCGCCGGCCCGACCGATGCATGGGGTGCGGGCCGGCATGGCCGCGACCTGTTTATTGTCTGCTTCCTGGCGTCGCACCTGGGTGTGCGCGTCCGCACCCAGGGTCTGCATTCTGCTGTTCCTGCTGGCCTTCCGGCTGTATGGCAGCTTGCTTTTCCGGCAGCGTTCTCCGCGGTGGTTCGTCGGTCCCCTCCTCCCTTTGGGTCGCTGGGGTCGATCGCATCGCCGTCGTCGGTCTGTCGCGGGTCGGCCGTGCCATGGGGTCTTCCGCCGTCGCCTGTCTGGGCTCTGTTGCTTTTGCTTTTGCTGCTCCCGCCCCCCCTTTGCATTCCCTGCTTCCTTGTCGTCCCCACCGCGGGGGTCTGTCACAGTCTGAGCGTAGGCGAATCCCGTTGGCGGGTTCTTCGGTTTTGCTTTGTCGCCTTTTTGGTCGGAGTGGTGCGACCATTGCGGTGACGCGTACAGTCTATCTTGCGCCTAGGCGGTTGCTCCATCTTCTGGTATTGCTTTCACCCGCCTTGATTGTAGCTATTCGTGACTTTAGCTGGGTTTGGGGTTGCTGCCTTAACGCTGGCGCTTGCACTGCATGTTGGCCATGCTCGCGCCTGTCCACCACCCATGTGCGCCGCCGCGTTTCGCGATCGCTGCTCGCGGTCGCCCGCGTTCAACGTTCTTGTTGTCTCAGGCTAAGACAGCCTCGACCGTGTGCTCAGTTTCGTCTGACCAACCTCTTGCACTTTGCTGTGCGGTCACCTTGTATGGGTTTTGCCTTTGCACGGTCGGTGGCGTTGCCTTTCGCGAAGATGCCTGCGTGTATGCACCGCCACCAAGTTGGCTGGTCTGGCAGTCTTACAGTGGTTTTTGTTCGTTGCCTCCTTGAGTTTCAATTCGCACTAAACTGCTGTTTGCGCGTCGAACTTCCCGCGTCGAAATCTCGTTCCGCGAGTCTTTTGGCCGCTGCACTTTTGTCGTTGCAGTGACAACACCGCATCAAATCAAGACAGGTGGAACGCTGAGTACTACGCCGTGGCAAGCGACGACTCTGAGGAGTCGTGGCGACACGGGCCTGCCTGGAGCCGGGAAGAGTACGAACAGCTACAGCGCTGAGAACAAGGGCACACACGTGAGCTCTTCACAGAAGTTACTACGTCGTCATATACATCGTGCAAATGACCGACACGGTACTGCGTGCACGACGGTACCCGCAGAGTACTGCGTTCACGGTATGTACCGCATCTACGGTGGAGTGGCCCTACCGCTCCGCCCACCTCCCCTCCGAAGTCTCTGCAAGGAGTGTGGGTGGCCTTCCTCTCCCCCTCTCGGCAGTGGACAAACCTCCCTTTCGTAAACCTCCCCTCAGTGAAAACGGCCTACAGGACCGAACCCGACGGACCTGGACCCGCAAAAACGACGGCCGCGACGCCCTCTCGCGAACCGAAAACGGCTAATTCGCTGATCGACGTGTCCGGGCAGGAGGTCTGTCCACCGCCGACCCTCACCCCCTTCGGAACGGGTCCGCCGACGCGTGACCGCCGCGCCCCCGGGGCGCGCGGCGGGCGCGGGGGCGACCCCCTGGGTGACGCCCGATGGCGCTGCGGGAGAGGAGAGAGGTCCAGGCGAGGCGTCCGGCACGGGAGGGGGGGCACCGGGGAGGGGGAGAGTGCGGAGGGCCTCCCAGGGGCCACAGGGCAACCACGAGATCCGGGCGCCGCCGTGTCGTCACAACGGGGGCGTCCTCGCTGGGCTTCGGGCCCCAGGACCATCACAGGTCGATTCGGCTCGGGAAGAGGCGCATAGACAGGCCGGTCTAGGGGTGCTGCCGGCCTAATGGTGCGGCAACGCTGCCGGCCTAGTGGTGCTGCCGGCCTAGTGGTGCAGGTCTGGGGCTCCTGGTCGGGATCTGTCGCGGCGCCGCGGCTTCTTCGCGACGGCGCGGATCTCCGGAGGGCAGAGGGCAGAGGGCGCCAGGGCGGGGAGGGCCCGAGCGGGAGGGGGCAAGAGAAGCGGCGAGGGGGGGGGGGGCAGGGCGCACGCCAGCGGGAGGCCGGGCCCCGCGCTGCTCCGCGGTGAAGTACTGGCTCATCTTCTCCGCGCAGGCCTCCACGTCCTCGGGCAGCAGTGGGGCACAGAGGCTGGGCAGAGCAGGCCTCGGTTTCGCCATGCCCTCACACACACACACCATGGAGAGCGAGGAGAGAGAGAGAGAGGAGAGAGAGAGTAGAGAGAAGAGCAAGAAGGAGAAGAAGAAGAAGAAAGAGCAGAATAAGGAGGGGCGGAAATAAAGTGAACATGATAAGAACAAGACGAGCCCTTCGCCTGTTTTCCCCCGCGCCCCTCGCATCGCGCACTCTTTTTGTCAGCGCACGCCGCCGGAAAAAAAAATAACAACTGGCTGGTCGACGGGCATCCTCTAATGTGCTCTCGCCCGCGGAAGGCGAGGCAGAGGCCCGGCGCGCACGAGGGAAAGCCTGCAGGCAGGGAGCACAGCGTCGTCGCGGTGAGGACATGCTGGCCAATCTCAGCCGGCCGTCAAGCGCACCTCGGGAGCTCCGAGAGCTTTTGTGCTGTTGATTGTTTCGACCACCTTCGGCCAAACCAGAAACGGAAGCAAAAGGCCCTCCGCTCGGTCCTGCTGCCTTTCCTGGGAGCCTCGGGCGCTAGGAGTGCAGCTCAGACTGTCTTCTCCACGGAACGATGGAATACCCGAGCTGTAGAAGAGGTCTGGGACGTGCACAGGCCCAGGCGACCACCGAGGCAAGCGCTCGATACCAGATGATGTGCAGGGTCGAAGGAACAAAAAACGGCGGCCACCGTTGAGGAAAGCTAGTAGCAAACAGCGCAAAAAACTGCAGCGGGTCCGCTGCGCATACAACATGATGCGGGTACCATGTCGTCATCATCATCATCATCATGCTACTCTCCCGCACCATCATCATCATCATCATCTGAATCATCGTACTCGACGAAATTATCATCATCATCATCATCATCATCATCATCATCATCATCATCATCATCAGAATCATCATCATCATCATCATCACCACCACCACCAGCATCATCATCATCATCAGCAGCATCAGCAGCAGCATCATCAGCAGCAGCATCAGCAGCATCAGCATCAGCATGAGCATCATCATCATCATCATCATCAGCAGCATCATCATCACCAGCAGCAGCAGCATCGTCAGCAGCATGATCATCAGCATCAGCAGCAGCATCATCAGCAGCAGCATCAGCAGCATCAGCATCAGCATCAGCATCATCATCATTACCATCAGCAGCAGCAGCATCATCAGCAGCAGCATCATCCTCGTCGCCACCATCATCAACACCAGCATAACCGTACCAAGATTAATAGTACTAGAATAGAAATAAAAACAATGGACGAACAATGTTCATCATCATCATCAGCAGCAGCATCAGCATCATCAGCAGCATCATCATCAGCATCATCATCAGCATCATTATCAGCATCATCATCAGTATCATAAACAGCATCATCATCATCATCATCATCATCATCATCATCATCATCATCATCATCATCAGCAGCAGCAGCAACATCATCAGCATCATCATCATAATCAGCATCACCATCATCAGCAGCAGAATCATCTTCAGCACCATCGTCATCATCATCGTCGTCATCATCATTAGCATCATCAGCATCATCATCATACTCATCATCAGCATCAGCATCGTGATCGTCATCAGCAGCATCATCATTATCATCATCGTATTGGTAATGATCGGCAGTATTGTGACAAGGGTCGACACCAGCGTTGCAAGCCGAATCATCAGATGCATCCGCGTTTCATCACCATGACCATCAGCGAGATCGTGTTCGTAAACGTATTCAACATGTTCATCAACATCATCGGTCTCGTCATCATAATCGTACTCATCTCACCAGCAGTAGTACCATCGTGATCGCCGATGGCATCGTCACGTGCTGTATGAGTAAAAACGTCATCAACCTAATCCTCCTCATCATCCTCAGCCCCATCATCATGATCATCATCATCAGCAGCAGCAGCAACCTCAGCATCATCATCATTATCCCTCCTCGTCGTTCTGTCCCCCCTGGCCCTCCACCTCATATAAATTACTGTTCCTGTTTCTGGTCCCGCTCGTGCTCCTCCTGTTCCTCCTCCTTGTCCTCCTCCTCCTCCTAATCTTCCTCTTCCTCCCCGTCGCCCACCTCCCCATACTTCTCCTCATCCTCTTCTGTCTCTCGGTCCTCCCCGCGTACGAATGCGCGCGCGCAGGCGACGAAGGTCCTCCATGTAGAGGCCATGCTGGGGTTTCTGGTGTCCTGCGTTCCGATGGGCGGGCGCGCTCAGACGGGCGCGCGGAAGAAGACGCGCTCAACCAGGGCGTACAGCATCACTCTTGCGGGGGGCGGGCGCGGTAAAACAAAGAAACCAAAAAAAAAATCCTCTCGATGCGAGAAGCGTTATTATCTTCGCGCGATCGCGCCGACCCATGGCGACGAACCAAAAGACCAGACCTCGAGCCACGAATCGCGGCTATATTCTCGCCCGAGCGTACGCAGTAAAAGGCACGGCGGGCGGAAGAAAGGCGCGATCCGCCATACTACCTGTGGCGTATCGGCCGACTGCGGGGCGAAGGAAACCGAGAGGTGCAGGCGGTCGAGCAGGCAGGCAGCCACTCTGTCAAACAAAATCGCGCGTGCTAAGGCGCATGACCAACACGGTGCGCTAAGGGCACCAAGCTGCACGAGCGCACCGCGTGGCTCAAGCCGTCTGTTAAGATCGCGTTTGGACTGTGCGCGGAAGGTGCCGTGAAGGGCGCTAACACATATTTGCAAATCGGCGGCACAGAGGATCCTCAGGCGCGGACGGGAAGTGGAAGTGCCAATTGCGATCGAGCATTGTCAAAGGCAAAGTGTACCAAACGTGCACTCTGCCAAGTGCATCGATGGGTGGTGTAAGGAGGAACTGTAAATCCAAGCGAATCGTGCAGCGGCCTGAAAACCGAGGAGGCAACTCAACTCGAAGTAAACTGAAGCGCGGGCAATATGGTGCAAATTGACGGCCAATGAATCACCAAAATGGGTGTTAATCACAAACGTGCGCGCACACACACAAGAGAGAGAGCAAGCACTGACGCACACACACACAGACAGACAGACAGACAGACAGACAGACAGACAGACAGACAGACAGACAGCCAGCCAGCCAGCCAGCCAGCCAGCCAGCCAGACAGCCACGACACACACACACACACACACACACACACACGCGCTTGTTCGGCGGTCGCGCCTCGCGCGCAGCGACGAGGCGGAGAAACTCGAGCGAGCAGCACGGAACTAGCGCGAGCAGCGAGGCGTCAGTAGCACACACACACACACACACATACACACACACACACACGCATAAGTATAAAAGACACGATACAACCAAGCGGAACAAGCGCAAGAGAACGTTTCTCTCAGCGACTGCGCAAGTATCACATAATGCAGAATCGCCAAAGATACCAAAAGAGTCCTGCCAGACGCCCGCCTCGCGAAAACGAGGTGGGATGCGCTTGCCCAAATCGAAGCGCGCAAGGATGCGCCAGGATTTCCAAGGTTAACCGGTAACCTAATGAATCTGCCCCCATCCTTGCGTTGCCGCTCCGGGAAGATCTGCAGCGCGAAAGCAGAGGGTGCGCGCGCCCGCACGGGTACCCCTGTGCAGGAGAAGCCGAAACACTGCTAAGACGGGCCGAAACCGAAGGATACTAGGCGCCTTTTCGAAGAGGGCGGGCGGCCGCTGCTCTTCCAAGCCGTGTGCTCACCGAACTGTCCACCAGGCGTGGCGCGGGAACAAGCCCGCCGCAGCTGCACGGGAGCCGCCGCGTGAGCCCTGCGGGCGCGCCTGTGCCGAGCGGGAGGAGGAGGAGGAGGAGGAGGAGGAGGAGTGAGGAGGAAGAGGAGGAGGAGGAAGGGAGGGGGAGAGGGGGGGACCGATCCTGCACCCCGGCACGGTCTCGGAAGAGACCGCCCCAGCTGGGCTGACGGCTGGGGGCTGAGAGGAAACAGCCCCGCCCGAAGGAGATAGCCAGGCCGAGCCTCCCGTGCGATGCGGGGGAAGGGAGATGCGAGAGAGGAGAACGGAGGAGGGAGGAAGGAGGACAGAAGCAGGGGAGGGAGGGAGAACGGAGGAGGGAGGAGGCAGGACATGGGGGAGAAGAGAAAAGGACGGGGGAGGCAGGAGGGAGGAGGGCGGACCAGGAGAAGGGAGGAGAGACCAGAGCAAACCAAGGATTCATCAACGATGCTGCAAGACGGATTACCGTTCCAAGTCCCCTCCTCAGAAGCATATATAGGTCTTCCTTCGCGCCACGAGAAGCGTCCCCCTGGAATACGAGCATCGCCTGGGCCTGTCATGCAGGTAATTGCCCAGTCTTGAAAATGAGCTGCACTGCATCCGTCTAGCGAATTACCAGGAATGCGAAAAGGTATGCTCATAAACGTAAACAATGTGCCAGCCAAGCGCCACTTTGAACTAGAACCGCCCCCGATTCGAGTAACGCCAGGGTACCCTTCTGCCCACGTAAATTGAGCAAAACACGCGGACACTCCATGATTTGTAAGAAGCGTCCTCCATCCGCGCAGCTGCTACATATATCAGGCTCCTGGCCGTGAAATTCAAACAAGACGTCTCCAGCAAGTGCCCCATGTTGGACAAGACCCGCCATGTATCTCGATCATTGTAAATGTTGCAGGTTTCCGGCGATGTGCGCAGCGCTAGAACGAGAGCCCAATATTGAACAGAAATCGCCTTCCATCCCCTATATCCGGCGCAAACACTCAAAAGAGGTGTGCGCGGCGATCAGGCGGGATCCCCTCTTTGAGAAGAAACCACCCTTGTTCAAAAGAAACTGTCCTTCCAAAATGTGAGCCGAATGTGCGTGCGGCGTGGGGACGAGAGCCCCATTCTCAAGGACCCTCCCTCCATCCATGCAAGTGCTGCGAGCTTCAAAAGAACAGCATCTGGAGGGTGCTATTGCGAGAGCCCCATGCTAACAAGGACCACCCTCCAGCCCGGTAACTGTTGGGAAGTGCAGACTTCGGGGGCATGAACGGTGATGGCGTCAAGAGAAAGCGCGGACCGCCAAACCGATATGGCTAGCAGCGCAACACGATGGAAACGTGTGCATGTGTGCACATGCACATCTGCATATACATGCACATGCACGTATATACATACACACATACAATACACCTGCACATACACATGCACATACACATACACATACACGGAACCTAAAAAGATGTGTATCTATATGCATACCTGCGTAAACATATAATCACACACATGCATATATATATATATACATATATACGTATACATATACATATGCATATACAAATACCTATGCATATACTTATGCATGTACATATACATGTACATATACTATGTACATATACGTATACATATGCATGTTACACATATACATATACGTATACGTATACATATACATATACATACACATATGCATATGCATGTCCCGGTCCATATACATAGACATGTAACTGTAGGTATGCCTAAACCTAAACATATGAATATACAGCTACATAACCATATGCATATACATATGTGCATAGATCTATGCGTAAACGAAAACATAAACATATACATATACAGATGGAGGTACTCAAACATATACATTCACATGTAAATACACGTACACACATAAGACGAAACGTCTACAGAATACAGATACATACACGTATACATATACAGACCTACATACTTGCATGCATACATACATGTATGCATGCATGCATACATACATGTATGCATTCATGCCTGCATACATACATGCAAACCGACATAACCATATATACATATATATATATACACACATACATGCGTGCATGCATACCTGCATACATGCATACATACACGTATACATACATGCATACATACACCGATACATACATGCATGCATGAATGCGGGCATGCATACTTGCATGTACGCATGGTTCTATACACACATACAGCATACATACATGCAAGCATACAACCATACATGTACGCATGCATACACACATATGCGCATGTATACACATATATATATATATATATATATATATATTCAAACAGACATGCTTGCATACATGCAAGCATACGTGTATACTTACATGTAGATACCCCTAAAGGTATACATACATAAACGTATGCCTATGTGTAGTTGCACACATGCATACGAAGGAACAAATATGCATACATGCATGCACACATGCATACCTGCATACATATACCGATACAATTATAACTACATACATGCATATATATATATATATATATATACATACATACATACATACATACATACATACATACATACATACATACATATAGATATACATATACACATACACATACATACAGTTATACAGACAGACAGACAGACAGACAGACAGACAGACAGACAGACAGGCATACATGCATACATACATCCATACATACATACCTACTTACGTATGAGGAAACTGGATGGACGCAAAGGACGAAAAGACGAGAGTGCGAAGGCGAAAAACGAGACAACACAGGATGCGCTCACACAACGTCTGGCCGCCATGGCAATCGGGCGTGGAGCTGGCAGGGGACAAGCAGGATGAGCCCATTGAGCTGAAAGGCACAAGTGGACCGAGCGGACTAGAACGGGACAGAAAAATATCATCGACGGGAGGGTGGGGACATGACAGCAAGCGAAGATAAATGCAATATGCAGGTCCGCTGTGCAAGATCCGCGTTGAGGTAACACCTCGGTCCACAAGAACAAAGGTGCGACTGTTGACGAAGAATATTACTGAGGATGTGAATGCACAAAGTGACTCGGAGCCGGGAAAGAAATTACAGCTGCATGGAAAAGCCACTGAAGCAATTCCCCAGGCAATATGAATAATCCCAGCACATGTCTCCTCAACGCTGGCATCAAGCCAACAAAACAAATACACGTCACGAGGTAGATCGGGAAACGGTGAACTCCAGGTGGTTCTGCTTTGGCGCTTTGTCCAATGACGCGCCCAGCCACCAGTCTGCATCAGATTCATCTCTGCTCGATCCAAAGCAGCCTCTGGGGAACAAGTTGGAAGCCTACACCGCGCAACACCGCTCAACTCCGCGCGCAGTGAGGGGTGCGGTCTTGCGCGGTGTTGAGCGGTGTTAAGCGGTGTTGAACGGTGTTGCGCAGCTGTACTGCTATGGCGACCTGAAAATTACAATATCAAGAAGGCTACGTTAGATCGGACGCATAATGAGGTGACCAGCGGCCACCGCAGCGAATCATGAACATGTAGGCATCACCCTGCCGGACACTCGACGAAGCAAAACGCTGCCTCAAGCAAGACGGGGTTGAGAGAACAGGTCGGTCGACTCTCGGAAGGAGCTCCAGCTTCTCGGAAGACGTGAATTGGAAGATCTGGACCGTTGGCGGCACTGGCGCGAAGTGGGCGAACTTCTAAGGGGGCGGACGACTGGTTAGATGACAGGGGGGGCTTCTCAGAAAGGCCCAGGGGCTGCTACGAAGGCTCAGTGAAGCCAGGAAGGATTCTGGCAGTCGCTTGCAAGCAAGCCACCTCACAAGAAGTTCTGCTTGGGACGACCCCATCGGAGGCTCCTGAGGCACTACAAGCCTCAGAAATCAGTGACCTGCTCGACCCCATGAGAGCAAGCTGCTGGGCCTCCGCCCAACACCCGCTTCTTGGAGGCCAGGAGGGATTCGGGGAAACCCCCTGTCTGTTTAGGACCATCGGGCACAGATAAATCGACTGAGATCCGGTGGATTTGGGGGATGCCTCGGGCGCCGCAGCCTTCTCTCAATGCGTTCCGAAACGCTCTGAGAGCGGTCTGGAACGCTCTGGAAGGCCGCGGCGCCCCAGACGTCCCCCCCCCTCCTCCTCCTCCTCCTCCTCCTCCTCCTCCTCCTCCTCCTCCTCCTCCTCCTCCTCCTCCTCCTCCTCCTCCTCCCTCCTCCTCCTCCTCCTCCTCCTCCTCCTCCTCCTCCTCCTCCTCCTCCTCCTCCTCCTCCTCCTCCTCCTCCTCCTCCTCCTCCTCCTCCTCCTCCTCCTCCTCCTCCTCCTCCTCCTCCTCCGCCTCCTCCTCCTCCTCCTCCTCCTCCTCCTCCTCCTCCTCCTCCTCCTCCTCCTCCTCCTCCTCCTCCTCCTCCTCCTCCTCCTCCTCCTCCTCCTCCTCCTCCTCCTCCTCCTCCTCCTCCTCCTCCTCCTCCTCCTCCTCCTCCTCCTCCTCCTCCTCCTCCGCCTCCTCCTCCTCCTCCTCCTGCCTCCTCCGCCTCCTCCTCCTTGCGCTCGCTCACCCGTGTTCTCTCGAGGCCGCCCCCCTCCTGCCACCCCCCGGGTGCGCGCCGCCGGGAGGGGCTGGCGACGCCGCCGCCACCGGGAGGCCTGCGCGCCCGCCCGCCGGGAACGCCCCCGTCGCTGCACACGGCGCGGCGACGAGGAGCGGCGAGGAAGGCGTGGGCGAAAGGTAAAACAGGGCTGGGATCGGGACAAATCGCTCCAGAGCGTTCCGGAGCGCTCTCAGAGCGTTCCGGAACGCTCTGGAGCGGCCGCGGCGCCCAATACATCCTCCAAACCCGCCGACTCTCAGAGGTTTCGAGTTATCCCGATCCGATTTTGTCCCGATCTTCGAGTCGTTTTAAAAGGCGCGGGAACACGGGAGCAAAAGCAATGCAGAAGCACCGACTGTGGGCGGTCCGCCCGGATTTCTGGGATCTGAACTGCACCCCCTTTCCATGGCGCGCGGGACGCGCCAGGGGGCGGCGCCGGAGGCGCCGCCAGGGCGTCCCACCGCAGAGCCAAGAAAACGGCGCGGACCGCCAAAGTTTTTGTTTCTATCACTAGTTGTGTTTCAAAGGGAGTACAGAGTACAGAGTACAGACACCCATAAGCGGGCAGAGCCCAGCCCCTACGCGGGGCGAGGGTGGTTGGCACCGCAGTGTTTCAAAGGGAACACACAAAAAAACGGAAGACGAGCCCCGGGGCGAGGAGGCGAGAGAAGGGAGGGAAGGAACGGGGAGCGCGAGCGGGGGGCGCGAGCGGGGACTGGCAGCTCCGCCCAGACATCCGAAGCCTTGGCTTTTCCAATAATTACGGCGCCCCCAGAAGTCCCGACTCTCTCCCAAGGGCCAGTTGTTCGTCCAGAGTCTTGGCGGCGTACACAAGGGGGGGAGGGAGGAAGGCTTCTTGGAAACAGGCTGCTTTTTAGAAAGCGCCGGCCCGACATCTATCAAGAAGGCCCGCGCCTTCCAAGAAGCAGGGGTGCTTCTAAGAAGCCTTCCCCCCTCCCCCATACCTCCCTCAGCGCGTGGCTGAAGTCTTCCGTCCCGAGCCGACCTGTGGCGACCCTGGGGCCCGGCGACGGCCACCGGAGCCGACAACGGGGAAAGAGATGCTGCCTCGACGTTGCCCATGTGCCGAGTGCCTGCTGAGCTTTCTCATAAGGTGGAGGGCCCAGGGTGAAATTCCTATGGGCTTATGCACCTCGACAATCAACCCGTTTCCTGATTCACCGTTTGAAGATTCAAGCCTCGAAAACCCATCGAAACGGCATTTCAGATTTCAAACTTTTGCCCTCCACCCAAAGAAAAAGCTCGGGCCTGGGGGGACAGGAGGAAGGCACGCAGCCCGCGGGACGCGGCGCGGCCTCAGACCGCCACGGGACCCAAAAGGGTCCAGGCCGAGCTCCGGCGGCGCCCCTGGGCGCCCGATGGGAGCGGCGCGCCTGGCACGAGGAGCACCGCCGCCACGAGGGGCCCGGCACGCTGCATTGCGGCTGCGGGCCCGCGGCCGGCCCCGCCCCGCGGGGCGGGCGGGGCGGGCGCACCGGGGCCCTGCGCGCGAGGGGGGAGGCGCGAGGCGGGGCGAGGCGGCGGCACACGTCGACGAGGGCGGCCCTCAGAGAGCACGGCGGTTGGCCTGGGGCCCGGGATACCCTCTGATGAGCGCGAATCCTCGGGGAGGGGGGAGGAAGGCGGGAGGACAGAGGAGAGTGGGGCACGGTGGGTGCCCTCGCGCCACGTCTGACATCCCATCCCGTTGCGGCCACTGTTTTTCTCTCCGCCAACTGATACCATAGCGGACCTGCTGCGCGCAATCAGACCAGAGGAGCTGTGCACGTCGCAGGAGTTCGCGGAGGGGCAGCAGGAAGATCAAGAAGAAGGGGGGGGGAGAACGAGGAACACGGCAACAGGAGGAAGACGTGTCAAGAAGACGGAGGAGGGAGAGCGGCAACAGGAGCAGGGAGAGCGAGGGGAGCAAGCGCGGAGTTCCAGTCGCTGGGGCCCGGCTGGGTCTTGGGGCCTGCTGGGGCCCGGGGCACGGGGCGCCCGGAGCCCACCCAGATGCTCCAGTACCCAAAAAGATGGGGTTTGTTGAATAGAGGCCCTCAAGATGGGGCCCAACCGGCGATGTTCTCAAGATGGGGCTCATCAAGCTCCTTCGAAAATGGGGCGCGGACAAGGAAAATGGGCAGCGGCGCACATCCAAAAATGGGTCGCGCCTGAAACAGAGATGGGGCGCAGATCTTCCGCAATGATAGCCTGACGTTTCGCAAACTTCAGATTCATAAATCTGAAGTTTTGCGTGCGTCTGACATCATGCATCTGAAGTTTTGGTGCGTGCGAGGTCTACCATGCTGCTCGTCCTTTACCACCTCCTCCTCCTCCTCCTCCACCTGCTCGTCCTCCCTCGTTATTACTATATTTCACCTCCTCCTCGTCCCCCTCCTCCTCCTCCTCCTCCTGACCCTTCTCCTTCAACTCCTCATCCCCCCTTTTCCTTCTCTCTTTCCCTGTCCCTTTCTCTGCCTGCTTCGATATCCCCAATGTCTTCCCCTTCGCAAGCTGTCTTTCCCTTCTCCTCCGTTTCGCGATCTGTCTGCCCGCCCTTTCTCTTCTTCGCCCTTCTATGTGCCGTTCTCTCTCTCTCTCTCTCTGTCTCTCTGTCTCTCTGTCTCTCTGTGTCTCTCTCTGTCTCTCTGTCTCTCCGATTTCAGGCCCACTGGCCTCGAGGGCCCACGGGTGTCCCACTGTCAGGTCCACGGCCACGGTCCTGGGGATGTTTTCAGGGGCCATGGAAATCTCAGTGTATTTCTGGGCCCTGGCAATCGCGGCAGGGGTGGCAGCGCCCGTCGCGACGACGACGGCGGCGACCATCCAGAGGGGCAGAGAAAGAGAGAAGGAGAAGGGGGGAGGAGGAGTTGAATGAGAAGGGCCAGGAGGAGGAGGAGGAGGAGGAGGAGGAGGAGGAGGAGGAGGAGGAGGAGGAGGGAGCGGCGGCGCAGGCGGGGGACGAGGAAGAGGGGTAGGAAACGAAGAGGAGAAGGAGGAAGCGAATGTCCTTTCCACCGACGTGGCTCTGACAGAGCCTCACTCAGCACAAGCTCGAGTCAAATCGAAATCCGCCTCGCCCCAACGCGGGGCCACCAAGCCGCCAGGCACATTTTCACATCTTGTTTTGGGGGCGGGGGTGTTTGGGTGGATGGGTGTACTTGTTTTTTTGTTGTTTTTGTTTGTTTTTTTCTTGGGGGGGGGCTTGTGTTTTTGTGGTGGTGGGTGGGTGGGTGTTTTTGTTTGGGGGTGGTGGGTGGGTGGGTGGACGTGCGCGGCGGCTGGACGCAGTTATGGTTTGCTAGCAGCCTATTCTCCAGCGCTCGCACAATTTCTTAGACAGGTCTAGCAGCGACGATCCAATCATGATGCAGCTGGCGACTTTACAAATGTGTCGCATGAAATCTTCGGCCTGGCAGCACCACAACATTCGACAATTCAGGAATTTGGTCCCCTGGGGGATATGCCAGAAATGGTGATGCTTGTTTACGAGCGACCACTTGAAAGCCTTCTTGGATTTGGCGTCGGCCGCCAGCGCACTGTAAAATATCAGCGTCCGCTCTGCAGCTGCTATGGCATCTATATACTCCTGCGGCGAAAGGTACATGTCAGCACGCTCAGTTATCTTATAGAACGAATTCAAATTTGAGACGCACGCGTTTCTCATTGAACGCATCGTGCTCCCGTCGTCATATGTTGCTGCCAATTCTGCTGCAACTGGGATCAATGCTCGCTGGGCGGCAGCTTTAGTTTTAGTTGCCATGCACGGGTAATTGGCGTGCGGGCATTTCACATCCAAGAAATAATTCAGTCCAAGCCGTCCGCGCCCCTTGCAAAGCTAGGGGGTAGGGCCTGAGAGAAGACTAACATTATGAACGAACGAGTCCCCCAACCCGACCGCCGCCCGCCAAATGCCCCTCAAACCTGAGAAACCTAACATCAAGTAGGCACGCGGAAGTGCGCCAGCATATAAATGAAACTTCATGGCCAGAGCTCCCTATATCGCTGTAAGCTTTTTTGCTTTCCCTCCACAGCCTGCTCACCGCATCAACTGATGTGCCACCAATCTGTTCGCACACGATTTCGTAAAATGTATTGCCCAAAATGTGACTCGTCACGCCTAAGCCGATCGTGTGCATTGCGTCTGCCGCCAGCGTGGCTGGACGCACTCCCCACACTGAGAAGATAGGATGCGTAAACGGATACGGTACAGCCCGTGCACGCGCCATCCAGGGTGAACGGTCCTCGGGCACAACGCCGGACAGATCAACAGAACAAAAAAAACGGAAACACACAAAAAAAAAATGAAACTATCGCCACCCCATCGCGCATCTGCCGCGCAGTTTTTCCAGAAACCAGAGGGGGGCTGGTTACCACGTGTTTGTGGTTCTTGACATTTAAGGTGTAGTGACGCGGGGGGTGGAGGGTACGACCGACGTTTTTGTTCAGTCTGTCCTTGTTAAAGTCGTTCCATGGGTTGTCGGACCTGTTCCCATCACAAGCCCAGCATATATTGATAGCATTGCTGGACGGGCCCCCCAAATGATTTGAGCAGAACTCCAAGTCACCCTGGATCGCATACACAAAGGCTCTGTACGGCGAGCCCTCGTCGCACAGAAGCTCGCCTGCACACTCTGCTAAGCGCGAGGTTGGCAAAAAATCATCGTCGTTCCAGTCCGCCACCTGCACAGGGCAGGGCCAAGCCACGAAAGGACTGGCAACGTGTCGTGTTTGCCCAGGTCCGATGTAAAAACTGGCAGGATCAAGTATATGGTTTCTGTATAAAGTCCATGGTGGGGGGTGAACGGAATTGGCTAAAGCCAGTTGCATCTTTGGTTGGATGGCGGCCCTGTGCGAGGGCGTTCAAACTCCAACGAATGACTCGCCATATATCGAGCCACGTGTCCTTCCCTCCGTGCTTCTTGGCCTTGGCGGTTGCACAGTATGGCCACGCCAATATGAGCAAGGCCAATTCCCTACTCGAGCCCCGCGCCAGCAAACCACTCACCGAGATCGTCATCATCGACTCGTTCGTTAATATCTCACCACCGTCGCCGTGCATGCGCAATGGGATGACATGCAACTCGCGCAAGGAAACTTTCCAAACTGGGTGGTTCTGGAGGCGCGGGTCTGACCTTCACGGAGGGCGAAATACCACCGTAGGGCTCAAACTTATGTCAAAACACCCTAAACACACCCTAAACGTCTGGCAAACGTCTGGCAAGCGTCTGACAAGCTTCTGACAAATCCCTGGAAACATTATGGTATCGCTTCTGCCAGACGTTTGGTAAATTTCTGAACGCAGTTCTGAGCAGACGCAGTTCTGACGCGTCTGCTCAACCATCCTACAGACGCCTGACAAACCTCGGGAAACCTTCCGATGAAGCATCAGACAAACTTCTGGCAAACGTCTGGTCGAACTTCTGACAAACTTCTGATACAAGTCTGATCAGACGTCTGGCAAACGTCTGGCAAACGTCTGATCAGACTTCTGGCAAACGTCTGATCAAACTTCTGACAAACGTCTGATCAGACTTCTGGCGCACTTCTGATCAAACTTCTGATTGATTTCGGGCAAACGTCTGATCAGATGTGTGACAAACGTCTGGCCAAATGCCTGGCAAACGTCTGGCAGACTTCTGGCAAACGTCTGACCGAACTCCTGGCAAACGTCTGACAACCGTCTGTTCAGACTTCTGGCAGACGTCTGGTAAACCTCTGGCAAACGTCTGAACAAACTTCTGGCAAACGTCTAGCAAACGTCTGACCAAACGTTTGGCAAACTTCTGATCAAACTTCTGGCTAACGTCTGGTAAACGTCTGGTCAAACGTCTGGCAACCATCTGGTCAAACTTCTGGCAAAAGTCTGGCCAACATCTGGCCACACTTCTGGCAAACCTCTGACACAATGCTGAACAGATTTCTGACAAACGCCTGGCAACAACTGATCAGACTTCTGGCAAACGTCTGGCAAACTTCTGACAAACGCCTGATCAAACTTCTGGCAAACGTCTGACAAACGTCTGATCAGATGTCTGGCAAAAGTCTGATCAAACTTCTGGCAAACGTCTGCTCAAACTTCTGGCAAACTTCTGACAAACGTCTGATCAGACTTCTGGCAACCGCCTGTCCAACTTCTGGTGAACGTCTGATCAAACTTCTGGCAAACGTTTGGTAAACTTCAGATCAGCACCGTGGCAACTTCTGATAACGCGTCGGACAAACGCCGGGAACTTCAAATCTAACGTCAGGTTAATGTTCTAGCAACTTTCTGGAACCCACATGGAAGTGCCCTGGCGAAGTTCTGCTAAACGTTTGCCAACCACCTGGGGGGGGGCTTCTGGAAACCCTCGCATACACACACGCATCTGGAAGATCACTAGGAGCCCTGTTCTACATCTAGACACATGCGGGACACGTGGCTTGGCGTGGCGTCGCATTGCTTTCTGATTGCCATGCCTGCTCGCTCCTGCCCAAAATTATGGCAGCCGATCTACTCCAAATG